TTTAAGTGTATTTCTTTGTAAAGAAATTCTGAGCTAAGACAAAGCTGAACTGTCACTGAACTGAGCTTTTATTTTGACGATCCTCCTCCTTTCCAGAATGAAAATAGCCAGCTGGTAGTTTCAGCTAGAACGTTAATCTTGAGTTAGTAATGTGTCAGGCTTTGAAATGAATATTAAAGAGACCACATTTTGAGGATGGAAAATGAAAATAACAAAAACCAGTTTGAGAAGGTGCCTGAAAACTGATTGCAGTAATGCACTACCCCCCCCCCCCAACTCTTAGACACAGGTACTAACAGAGACTCTGAGATTACAAATCCTTGCCTTGGGCTTTGTTTCTCGTATCACACTATTATCAGTCAGCCATTGTTATGTAACCACTCTGTCTGTGTGTATGTGTGCACACAAAGAAATCAACTCGCACGAACAACAAAAAAAACCTCTATTTATAATATTGTATTCAGTATGTTGAAGTCAGAATGAGGTTATTTGACAAATCAAAAGAGTTTATGTTCCTGCGCAAAATGAAGCTGCAGCTTCTGAAACATGCATTCATCTCCTTTGTTCCGTCATGTGCACTGACTCCTTAAAAACACCCGTTTCAGTTTGTTTTAATTAAAGAAAGTATTGGTTCCTTGATGGAATTTGTATGCTAATTGGAGTTAATAATTGCAGTATTGCAAAATCAGGAAGAGCTTGCAAAGCTGTTTTATTTACTCCGTTTTGACTAATTAAAAATGGGACAAGTGTCTCTCAGGCTGCTCTTTTTCTTCTTTTTCTTAAGGTGCAGTTTATTCACAGTTTGTCCAACAAGCCACAAATAGCCTATTACTGTATGTCTGCTGTTTTTGTAGCTGTTAATATTCATTGAAATCCGACAGACAGAAATCGGTGCCAGAAAGAAAAGTGCCTACAAGTAATTATCAATAAAATCAGCGACTGATAATTCATGTGGGATTTGTGTAGTTAAAGTGCTGTGTAGCTACATTCTTGAGTTTACGGTCAAATTTTCTCCAGATTTAATGGGCAAGTCAAAGCGGGCGGCTTCTGGATCCAGCTGGCTTGCTTTAAACAGACCGCAGTCGAGCTAATCACCCACCTCCTCTCTTAAATTCATTCATACAGTTAGGAATCCACACTGACAGCAGTGGCTAACCTTACTGCGCAGACTACATATAAAGTTGCTCTAATATATTCCCACAGGAAGGCTTCCCACTCTGTAATTTGTTGACTGCTGCAGAGGGTCTAAAGAGCAGCAATACTCTTTAATGCTCTTATAAACACAAGCACACATAAACATACACATGCATATACACACACGCACACGCACACACACACACACACACACACACACACACACACACACACACACACACACTATTGCCTCGAGAAAGAGTTGAGAGTGGTACTCAAGGAGGAATAATTATAGATGGCATTGAATTTCCTCCTCTCCACCGTGTACAAACAGTGTTTAGCCAAGAGGGTTTGCTTACTTCACATGTTTACACCATAGCACTACTTGGCAGCAGGGTGACATTATTGTAGTGTGTCTGAAAGTCTGGTCTGAAGAGGAAACTTGACAAGCAGGGAGCTGCGTCACCAGTTTCGTGCACAGATCGCCTGTTTCGTTGTTTGTTTATTGTCAGAAGTAGCCAGGAATAGAAGTTGCTGCACCAGGATGTTTCAGCATTTTGATACCAGAACTCACAAATACATCCACATCGTCACATTGGGGAAGTGTAATACTCAGTAAGTCTCTTCTTGCAGCTCTCCACCTGCTCTGCAAAGTGGCGAAGCCTTCATACAGCTGATTTTTCACATGCTGTGTGTATGCATGAGTAACTGACTGTTTGTCTGTGGATATGTGTACGTCATGTATATGTATGTTTATGCATGTATGCTCTCCACATACCCGGAGCTGTTGTGTTTGTTACGGAGAGTAGGTTGTAATTGAATATACTTCCCTGTGCTGGCTGTGAAACCACATTACCAGCCTCTTTGCGGAAGAGAGTCCAGGGAGAAGGCACAGTGACCCTCAGGGGGAGGGGGGAGAGGAACAAGAGCAAGAGAGACCTTGATTCAGTTAAAATCAGAATCAGAATAAAGGGTGATGCAAGGAAATAGAAGCCTAAATTATTGGCAAAACCAAGCTTAATGTTTCATAGTAAGGTGTTGTTCCAGCACGAGCTGCACAGTTTCAAAGCTCACACAAGTCTCTGGACTGTACTGCAGGGATGAACACCATTATTTGAATAGATATTCCCTCATTTTGTGTATTGATGATGATGATGGAGGACACTGTCTCCATTGTCACGTGTCACCAGGAAGAAAATGGGGGAAGGGGGGAGAGAAGCAGATACAGAGATTGAAAGTTGTGCAGGTTGATGATAAGCGGGCAAAGGCTGAGTTTCCCCTGTTTAATTGAGGCTGGCTCAGTGCCTGTTGTTATTCTGTCCTTGTACATTCCTCCACTGTATATATTGTGCAGCACAAGAGATTGACAGAGTGGGGGAGAGAGAGACGGAGTGAAACAGACAGAGCGAGGGAGGGGGATGCAGAGATTGCTGCAAGGAGAGGAAGACAATATGATGTGACACAATGGAAAATGGGCAGGAAGGAGGAGGTGGGGGGGGGGGGGGGGTATAAAGCTATCTTGTAGGTGTTATCAGGTTAAGCCACCCACCACTGGCTGTCGCCATGGAGACACCATGGTAACGACCAGGTGTTCAACCAGGAAGGAGAAAGACCTTGCTTGTGTAAAGGGGCTTCCTCTGCGTGCCTCTTCCTCATTATGAGCCTTCATCTGTCTCACTGAGAGTGTCAGTCTCAGGTGTTGTCTCAGGCTGTATGTGAATAAAAACAGGAGGCAGATATAATAACATACCTTTTCCATATAATCTGTCTGTGTAGTTAAAAGTGTCCCTCCACAAATGCAATGTAAGAATGTAAGAAGTTTACACACACATACATGCTGTATGTATGTATGTATGTATATATATTCAGATTATCACTATATGTGTTTGCATTGTTTTGTATATATGTTCAGCGTGTGTGTGTGTGTGTGTGTGTGTGTGTGTGTGTGTGTGTGTGTGTGTGTCTGTATGGCTCTCCATGCTTAAACCTATAAGCTGATTTGATAACGTGCTTACAAAGATCTGTGTTTCAATCCGTTGGTGTTAGCTCTGTTACATCACTGCAGCAAGCTCTGAGTGTGAGTATGTGTGTATACGTATTCACGTGTGTGTGTGTGTGTTGCTCAGCAGAGTAGGTTTGGTGATGGTGGTGGTGGTGGGGGTGGGGGTGGGGGTGCGGACGCTCGGCACATGGAAACACACTGGCAACAATGACGCACACGTGCTTGTGCCATGCGCAAGCACTGCAGGCCAGACACACAAATACAGTAAGCAAAGGCAAACACACACCACAGACCTTTGCTCAGGCTCTTAAAGGCACACTATACCACTGCTGAATACACGTCATGCCAGCTGAGATATAACCCCTGATCTGCATCCTAATGGCTTTAAATGCAAAACATCTCGCTGTGCTTAGTTCACTTCTATGTTTGGCTGATTAATGGTGAGAGTAAAAGCAGACACACATTTTCATCGTTGGGTTGATGATAGTTATAATTTGGACGTCACAAATAATTGGACAGTCAGATTATGTTGATGCTCATACAGGGTGTGGTGTGTAATGATTGTAAGTGTTTGACCTTTGATCAAGTCGCTGCTCATCGCTCATTCACGGTATATTAAAAAATATTGATAATATAACAGAAAACAGCGAAGAGTCAGGAAAATAGCTCTGTGCTGTGAGAGAGAATAATCCAGTTCAGTAGGTTTTAGCACAGAGACCTTCAGCTCCCACTGAAGAGTTTACAATCTGCGTTGCCCTCATCTTCACATCCACCTCCTCATTTAAAATTTCCAAAGCTTTCTGTATTAAAATGCAGCATCATTTAGCAAGACGAACTGGTTCTAATTCTATTTTGGTCCTTGTGTGTAAGAATTTGTGTTTTTATCAGGATTTGGGGGATTTTGCCTCTTCTCTGTAGTTATTATCTCAAGGCCTGTTCCCACCTTAAAAATCATGTAGTAGACCCCATAATGACCTGCTGAAGTGTCCTTGAGCAAGACGCTGGTTCCTTACCGGCTCCAGAGGTGCTGTTCAGTGCCTGACTCTGACCTCTGACCTCTGTATAAAGGGACACACTATTGGTCATTTATTATTATACTTGGCTGTTACCACTGACTACTTGGTTAAGCTGTTTGGGCCAGAGTGCACATTTTAACAGCGTTCAGTATTGCACACCAGCTAACTGTTCATGTTTTACACAGTGAGAGTCCAGTTTGGTCGTGTTGAAAGATACTCAGTCTCATTCAGGAATAATACCAATCTAAATTTACCTTGTGTCGGTAAACCAAGGGGGTTTTAATGTTGTACTCCTTGCCAGGAAATTAACCCAGAAAAAGTAATACATGACAAAAAAGCAATGAAAATGTAATTGGAAAATGCAGTTAGCAGATAGCAAATAGCTGACAAAATGTGCACATGGCCTTTAATTTGTAGTTAAATGTTGGACAGGTTTTTAGTCTCATGAAGAACATCACATGATAAAGTATATGTTTAAAGCATTGTACAGGCAAGAGAATAAAGCAAAGCCAGACGACTGGCTGTGAGAAGGTGATAGGCTGCCGGTCAGGGACAGAATTGGGAACCAAGGATAAAGAAACAGAGTGTGAGGGATGAGAGAAAAAGTGAAGAGGAAGTGGGGGAGACAGATGGGAGCTGATCCTGCGGAAAGACGCTCCTTAGGGTCCTCATATCCGTCTCCTGTTGCCTATGAAATTACTTAACTTGAATCTTTGTGCTTCCTGATTCCACTTTGCTTAATGTGACACATTTGACAGTTGTTTGTGACATATTCCATTTAATGTGTCCAATAGTGTTTCTCAGTTCACAGTTCTAACGTGCTTTGCTTGTTTTTATCTGTGTTGCAGATAAACCTGCGGCTTATTTTAGTCAGCGGGAAGACGAAAGAGTTCCTCTTCTCTCCCAATGACTCGGCTGCAGACATTGCCAAACACGTCTATGACAACTGGCCGATGGGTAAGTGTCTCCATTCAGATACCGCAGTGACTGTTCCTGGCAATGACCGAAGAAGTGACAGAAGCATGTGTAATCATATGGTTAAGATAATGAAAAAGTCATGCAGCCGTTTCTTCATCTTCATTATAACTGAAAGTAAAAAGTGAGTAAAAAGTACAATATTCCCTATGTAATGCTGTGGAGTCAAAGTAGCATGAAATGGAAATACCAAAGTGAAGTACAAGTACCTTAAAAACAGTCCATCACTGATCGTGGCCAAAAACAATTAATGCAGCTTTAATGTGACAGCAGAAAGTCAACAGACTTTCAGGTCACAGTTCCTCCGTCAGTGGGAGAGTCTTCGGAGATGTGTAGTCAGTTAACGGTTTGTTGGCTAAAGAGAGCAGTGATTACTTCATAATTTTTTTTGATTACTCTTTTTCCAACATGGTTATTAAATATACATTCCCCAAAGAAAGAACTTAAGATTTAAACTTGCCGTGGGGATGATTTCAAGTTATCACAATAGTGGTTATGTGAGCTAACATAACACATTTCAGTCCTTGTGGATTAAGATGCACAAAACATACCTGTCTCCGAGCTGCGTTATTTAAACTTGAGATCCTCGTGCTTTTGTGACTCGCATGTCTGCTTCACATTAGCTGCAAAAATGTAAACGACCAGATTTTGGTATGCGGTCTTTGATATGCTCACTGGAACGTTTGCTGTTTTCCCACATTCTGCACATAGATAACTCGGACCCATATTGTGCTATTTTGTAATAAATCACATTATTGTATAAGCACAGCTGCAGTATGTTTGCATAAGTAGTAATTGTTTAGCTGCTAATGCACTTGGAAACCAGACGATCTGACTTAGCTTGGCTGTATTTTCTAAAACGACGATAAAGGCAGCTGAGGAGCTATACTCTTGTTTCCAGAGAGCTGAGATCACATTCAAACCCACTGCTAATGACTTACATGTAGGTCTGTGTAGCAGTATAGGAATGTGCAAATCTTTGGTGGAGGGTAATTAGATCGCCCTCCTCCTGTCAGCCTGATTATCATTGCATACAGGAATGTGGGATTGCAGTGCAGCCACCTCCTTTCTGTAATACACCCACTCCCTAAGTGCTGCTACACCAGTGTTAGAATTCATTTGATACTTCCGACCTTACACCACCTTCAGATCTGCACAGACTGCAGCCTTTTCCCACGGTGCTGTGAATGTAGTCCGATTCAGCAGAAGCCCACCTTGCGTGAAAAACTATAAATTATACCGATGGACCCAGATTCTCTTCCACGTGAAGAAGTTTCCGTTCTGTCCTGTCGATTTCTGATATGTTCCTCCCAGACAACAGATCTGAACCCTGTGAAACCCAGAGCAGGCGTTAACTCATCACCAACACCCTCTTGTTTAGCTGGAGACAAACATCTGGTGGCCAGACTCTGCTGCCGTGCAACACCACCCCACCCCACCCCTCCTCTCTCGCTGTTTTCTCTCTCATTTAATGCCGTCACTTTTGTCTTCAGCTCTTCCCAAGCCACACCTTTTCTTCTCTTGCTCTGAGTCTTTCTCACATTCTGTAGTGAATCCCACAAAGCCCACATATTATACATTCTGGATGTAATAATCTAAAATAAAGGCCATGAATGTCTTAAAATATCTTCAGTGCGGTTGTTGGTGGTCATTCTTTCCGCGATGCAATGACAGATTTCTTTTCATTATACTGTAAGTCTGAGATTGACACAAAACAGGACTGGTGTAGTAGCTTCTCATCATATAGCCTCGCCGAACTGAAGTCAGAGCCTCTTAACAATTAAATTCCTTTTTAAAGAAAATTCAATAGCAGGTAGCAATTAAAAGGTTGTGACATGTTACTTAACCTTGCGTGTTCTCAGTTTATATATTATAGATTATACAGTAATGATAATGATGCTGGTGTTTTAATGGGAAAGTGGTTAAATGTAGAAATTTAAGACAAACTTTAAGTGATATTACAGAAAAATATAAAGAAGCGATAAACAGGATATATGAAGCTTTTCACTCCATGTTGACTTTTCTCTTTAACTCTCTCTTTCCATCTCTCTCGGCCCCTTCTTTTTTTTTCTTTCAGACTGGGAGGAAGAGCAGGTCAGCAGTCCTAACATCCTGAGGCTGATCTACCAGGGACGTTTTCTGCACGGCAACGTAACACTAGGAGGTGAGAAAACACAGAAAGTACACCTCCCCTCCCAAAAAAACAAAAAAAAACAAAAAACACTTATGCGCTTGTAGACATGCACACAAAATCACAGCAGTGTGTTGCTGGAAAGTTCTTTGCTGTTCTCATCCTTTTCCTGAGCCGCAGAACAGAGGTACCTCAGTGCTCTGGACAAGCCTGCATTGACGGAGAGAGGGAGGAGAGAGGAAATACAGAAAAAGAAGGGGAAAGAGGCTGGTCAGGAAAGGGGCAAGGCTGGCGTTGGAGTAGACCTCAGGCAGCACAAAGACAGAAAGGGAGGGGGGCGTGAAAATGAATGCCATAAGTGAACAGAAAAAAAGAGGATGTCTTCTTTTGAGGCGGCGCTCTTCACTTCTCTCTGGCTTTTAGGCCTTTTCGTCTACTCAACCCAATTTTGATTTGACTGGTGTTTTGTGTGGTTAATGGGGTTATGGCGGTCCCTAACCCTTTTACACCCATCCCATTATCTATCTGATAATTCCCTTATCTTTGGTTTAACGTGTTCGCACGCCGACACAGAATCCTCCTAAAGTCGAGCCAAAAACTCCCAGTGGCTTTGAAATGCAAACACAGACACTGCACGCGCGCGCGCACACACACACACACACACACACACGACTGAAATGCAGTTTTGGGGAGTAAGTATTGGAGCGAAGAGATCAGCTTTGATCAGGTTTATTTCATCAAATATCACAGCAGGACTAGTGGAACCTGTTATATCACAAAGCATAAAATAATTGGAGAAGAATGCATTTCACCCGTCTTCCTGGCAGCCGCTGATTTCCTTTCATATTGGTATAAAAACACACTGATGAACAGCTTTAGACAGGTAATCCATGCTCAGTTGTGTTTTTGTCAAAGTTACATTATTGTTGTGTGGTAATGGAGTTGAAAGTAGGACACCAGTATGCTTGAAATCAATATTACAGTATCGACAAGTATATTTTCAATATTGCAATATGGCAAATACATGAAAAAATCACTGAATTTGAAAACACATTACATGTGCATTACATGTGGTCAATCACTTCCTGTGTGTAAAATGAAAATGCCAATAGTTTATTCTGATAATCATTGATTTGGGACAAAAGAATTGACATGATGGTGGCATCACCAAATATTTTTGATTCTGATTTGATTTTGATTTTCTATCGAGAGTTTGCTGAGTGATTTACACATTTCATGAAGTGGGAAACATTATGACTTTCAGCAGCAGCCAATCAGCCTGTGTGAAATAACTGCCATTGTTCAAATACTTGCTTTACATAAAGGTTTACCTTCTTGGCCATTTCAGACTCTTTCCTTACCTGCAAAGATGATTATTTTGAAATAAAATGACTTTACAGTCATATATTTCCACACCTTCAGCCACAGCTTATTATTGAGCTGTTTAAATGTAGCTCTTTATCTACGGTTCATTACCATAACGCTTAACTCTTTCCAGTGTAGCAGAATTTGTATTCTGCTATCTCAGAGAACAGCTGAAGCGTCAGGTAACACTGATGGTGACTGACTTTGTAAAGACAGATCTACTGTCGCTAACTGAATAACCTCTAACTCTCTGTCTGTCTCTCTCATTTCTCCCCCTGCTAGCCCTCAAACTGCCCTTGGGGAAGACCACAGTGATGCATTTAGTTGCCAGAGAGACTTTGCCTGAGCCAAATTCCCAAGGTAACCAGCGTTCTGTCTCCCTTCTTTCTTTTCAGACGGCTTTCACACTCTGAACAACTTTAAACGTTCTGCTCCCAGCCATTATTTATCTCCACACATGGCTTCTGTTTTAGGAAGAGCCACTGGCGCAAATAATTGGCTCCCTTAAGTGTATCCCCAAGATACAGCACATTGTGCAGAATACACAGCTAATATAAATCATATTAGGTGACAGGTCTCTTTTTTTGTGATTGTGTAGTACGAGGTGATTTTATGCAGAGACGGTGGCTGACCTCGGCTGTGGATTATTAGATCTAACAAATAGAGATCAGAGACACATCTAAGTTCGCTGGTCGCACAAAGCATTCTAGTCATTTACTGTCTTTAGTAGGACTAATTTGCAATGCATTCTGGGTATAATGAACGAAAGGTAAGGTTAGGTAAAATAAATAATTACCTGACTCCAGAAGAAAACCTGTGTTTCCTGGATGAGCAATTACAAGACAAAGTCCAATTGTGAACTGAAGTGAAGAAAGAGCAGAGAAAACACAAGGGGCTGCAGTGGTGGGGGCGTGTGGCGTCAAGCACCAGTGAGACATGAAGTACAATCCCCGAGGTCCTGGTTGAGTAACGGATCCACGAGTGAAGCCAAAATGCTACACGTTGGTTTATAATAAATAAATCTATCAGGATTGTTTGTTAGTTTTTTTTTTTGATTGGCCATCAATCACATCCCACTGGTATTACAGTAAAAGTTGTGCGTGATTCGACCCAAGCCTTAGTTTTTTTTTGCCGGAGCCTCCATTCCCGACAGAGCGTCCACGTTCAGATCAATGAGACAGCGGCGCTTTTATCTTATCGCACGATGTTTATGTTAAGTTGTCTAAATTTGAAAATGCTGTGAAAACAATTTGAACTCACATTAGTGTTTCCAGATGTAGAGACCTCTGCTCACTGTGAAACGCCTGAACAACACCAAAGCGGCTAAATCGCTTCTTCTTCACCTTCTTTTCAGTTGGCAAACAACAAAACTGCATCACAGCCGAACAGTGGAACAGATAGAACAGCTCACCTTTTGTGACTTTTCTGCCTTTTTAAATACATGATTACAGAATAAGTTTTAAGTGGTCTTCGTAACTTTGCTGCCACATAACCCTCGCTACGGCTCCACACCCAGCCGGCTACTCCGCCACGTCTCAGCCCACTACACCTTGATCTGCTCTCTGTGGTCACCTGCACTGTGATTTAATGCAGATGAATTCACAGTATAGTCGTTCTCATTTACATATTTTTCTCTTTTTGTTGTCAGACAGCTTAAAAAGTATGACTTTGTGATTTTAATTGTGGCCAATTAACCCTGCATGTTAACCAGCAGTCGTTCTGAAGCTGCTGAGCTGCGGTGATAAAATCACTGTATCTCCAGATAAATGACAACAGCTCTGCTACATAATCAGTGGTTCATGTTCAGCTGATGAACGATCAGAGTGAAAGTCAGAGGTGACTGAAGGATGCCCTCTTAACTTAACTGGCGCACAGCCGTCTGTTTACCCCAAACACCAACTCGCTGTTTTTTTACACAATCTGGAGGCTGTTCCAGTTTGGAGGAGATAAAAAGCTGTTTTAGTCTGGACGCAGGGCTGAAAAGATGAGTTTACAAATTCCTTTGCTTAATGTGGACGTTCTCCATGACTGGCTTAACTCTGTAGACCAGTATGTTTGTGAAACTGACCTCAAATCACATTTAAAAGTAAAATGTTTTCAAACGATTTCTCACCGTATATATTTGGCTGCTTACCTGCCTTGACTGTGTAGGATCAGTGTTTGTCTTGATGATGATGTTTGTATATTTGTGTGTGTGTTTGTGTGTTCCCAGGTCAGAGGAATAGAGAGAAGACCGGGGAGAGTAACTGCTGTGTCATTCTGTAAATACACACCTCCGCTGCCGGCCCCCCACCCCCACCCCCCCACCCTTCTCATCTGTTTCTCACCCTCAACGTTCTGGACCTAATGAGCTTGTTCCCTGTCCTGCAGGCCTGTCCAACAAAGCAGATATGCATACAAAAAAAAACAAAAAAACTACCACACACACACACACACACACACACACACACACACACACACACACACACACACACACACACGCACACACGCACACAAACACACACACTCTTCTCTTTTTCTTTTTCTTCCTTCTCTCATACACTCACACATACATGGAAAGACAGCAGGCTCAGGCTGATCCAGGACTCAGAGTTGGGAGCAGGAAATTGATTAACGATAGAGTTGATTCCTTTGTTGTACTTGATTTTTTGTCATAACTGAAAATTTGAGGGAGGAACTGGATTTGCATGTTTTTTTTGTTTTTTTTTTCTTTCTTTCTTAATGCACACCTTTTTAAGCCTTCTGCCATACACATGCACGCAGACATACACACATTGTTAAGCCATCCACAACTGGTCTGTTCAAAGTCAGTCCCTAACTGGCTCCTCATTCTAGCTGGTTGTAATAGTAATGCAGTGCCCGAGTTTGTGTGTGTGGCCTTGTTTTCTCATACAGACCGCTGACAATTTTAACCACTAACAGCTCACCAACATGCAAACACACACCCACACACACACACATGATTATGACACCCTGGCTATACATCCAACCATATGTGCTTGTGTGATCTCCCTCAGTGCAGCAGATAAAGCTTAGATGTGCCTGTTCAGAGAACTCAAACCAGGACACACGCACAAACACAAACACACACACACACACACATACACACACACATGCACACAACTGTGTCCTTTATACTGCCCTCCTCTGCACGTGCCCTTAAATGGCACATGAGAGAAATTATTCCTTTTTATCTGCAAAGCGCTGTAGAGACCGAACACATCCTCCTCTCTCAGTCGTCACATCTTAGCCAAACAAAGCCTAAACAAGCAAACAAATAGACAAACAAACCAATGTTGGTGGTCTTGTTTTTGGTTATTTGTTTGTCCGTGACATTTGTGACTGTGTTTTGACAGTCCATGCATATTACTGACCGACCAGTGTTGTGATTAATAAAACATCATGTCAGTTTTCTTCCCTACCTGATGCCCCCCCCCCTCCCCTCCTCAAGGAAATGCTCATTGTGCTCCGTTTTTTTTAACAGTGTTGTTTCGGATCTCTCTCTCTGACAATTGCTGTTCTAGCAGGGAAATTAACTCTGAATGGAAAAAAAGCTCCTTATTTGTCTTAATTTGCTTCTTTCTCTCTCCTTAATTCTCTCTCTGCATTAATAAGTCCATTTTGCACAACTGAAGCATGTGCTCCTTCATCAGATTAATAAAAATGTATAAAAAGTTTTATGGTTTTATTTTATATTTTTCCAATGGAAGTAATGTTCCAAACTAAGGTAACGTGTAGAATATATTTAATATGAATCTTATATAGAACATGATGAATCTAGATCTTGTTGATATACAGTATATTGGTGTTTAGTCTATGATTGTGTATACGGTTAGCTTCTAGCCAGTTCACAGTCACTCGCTGACAATGTCTTGTGCTTAACAGCAGCAAAACCACCCTAATCATCGACAGACTGTACTTTTATTTTCTTTCTTCTGTGCTCTTTTATTATTATTATATTTTTTTCATTTGTTTATAATTTAATGTAATCCTTTTTCTTTGTGGTTTTTTGCTTTAAAAGAATCGCTTTGTAACAGCACTAGGTCTTAAAAAAAAATATTGTTTATATTGATCAGGGTTCAAATCTGTACAGAGATAAACGTTTTCAAACCAATTGTAAATAGCACTAATGCTCCCTCTCCCTCCTCCAAACTTCAAAATGGAATACATCTGTAAACTAAATAAAGGTTATTGAAGTGCACTGCTTTTTGTCATGACTCCCTGCGCTTAGATCATAAAATTCCTGAAACAGTGTCACTTGGGTTTGACAGCGTTGACTGTTGACACAAGGCAATGATATTTAACAGTGTTTCGACAGACTACTAAATCAGATGGGTATTTATGGCTGACTCAACTAAAGTTCCCCTTTGTGATGACTACGTGACAGTGGATAGTGAATATATTTATGTAGAAATTGCACTTGATAAATGACTTGTCCTTTGGGGAAAATGTCAGCGGATGAGGTTTGGAAAAACCTTGGTTCAAGTTAGAAATTACACACGTTAAAACCACAGCTACAGTAAATCAGTAAATCAGCTGACTCATTTCATTTGAAGTTATGAGTTAAGTAGCTGGATTCTTTGTAAAAATGTAAAAATACTCCACAAGTAAAACTCCTGCATTCAGAATTTTACCTAAATGAAGGTACAGTGTGGTCAAGTAAAATGGACCAAAAGTGTAAAAATTCAAGTAGTCGCTATGCAGAATGAATGTTTTTAGAGTTATATTATCATATATATTACATTAATTTTATTCATTATCATTACTGATGAATTGATGCATTGTACGTGGTGAGATGGAGCTTTTTTTAACCACTTAATGTCCCTTTTGGTCTGTATATCACAAAACATGGTTGCTTCATTCTCCTTTTACAGGAACTAATAGCTGCATGGTAGTTATAATAGTAAAATGTAACAAAGTACATACTGAAATACTACATCATTGTTCCTATGGTACTTGTACTTTACTTGAGTATATCCATTTCATGCTATTTTATACCTACACTCCACGACATGTCAGATGGACATATTGTACTTTTTACTCCACTTCATTTACACTTTTATCCAAAGTGACTTACAAGTGAGGGGCAACATTAAATTTGGTGCAGTAGGAGACCTTGGTGTAAGTACTGAGCACTTCACTCAATATTCAAGCTGATGAAGGCTTAATGCAATGAAAAAATAAAAAAATGAATTGCATCATTTTTCCGTGGCAACCATGTGATGCTGTCGAGTCACTTGTCCAGTTTGCATAACAGCCAGTAGGCCAAAGTGCAGCAGGAAAAACAGTGTTGAACACAGAGTACAGTCCAGCCTGCTGATCTGAGAGCAGTTTTGCAAACATGTTATAACTCCTAAACAAGATGCTACATTACTGTGGGAGTAGTTTTAAGTATATATTACTCATGTAAATACATTGGAGTGATTGACAGCACAGCATGAGAGGGCTAAGAAAATATTTCACTAGAAGGTGATGACTGTACTTGTGTTGCCTTCACTGAACCCCTGTGTAGCTTTTTCCTCTCCTCCTCCCTGCAGTCATGCTGTGTTCAACACACAGTGACTGTAATGTGGGCCAGATATTCAACATGAATACAACTATTCCTCTGTTATTTACACACACATACACAGAAAGAGTCTGGGTGCAGGCAGAGAGGATTGTGGTTACAGTAGCACCACTCAGGACGGCACAGTCTTTTTATTTGTGTGACATTAAACCACTCAGTGCTGCTGCTGCCTGGCCTCTGAACAATACACCAGTCTCCTCATACAGGCAAATTATTGTTTCAAAAGCAGCGTAAGTTCGAATGAGTAAACACTTTGCAGCATCATTTAAATATATCTGACATTTACAACAGTGACATTTAAGTAAACAGCTCGACTACATCTACAAACATGAATGAAACTGATGTGATTTCCTGTATTTGACACAAACTTCTGACTACAACAAAAGAGTGTAAAATGGACAATACTGGGGATGTATGGGGAACCCCTTTTCTGGAAGCTACACAGTCATTACTCATGTTTGGATGGATTATATGGCAAAAATATAATTATGGGGTAACATTCACCACGTGAAACAACATGGCAAGAGATGATTTTCTTTGCTCAGTGTGTAACCTATTACAGTAAGACATGAGGATGTTGCCATCTTCTGGCAAATTGCCTGTATAGCATCATTATAAAAGCCAGTGTTGTAAATGTGCACAGTAATTTTTTTGATACTATATGAGATGGATTATATTAGTGCTGTTTTTTTTTTTTAGTAAACACCTTATTATCGACATTCAAAACTACTTGATATTATTACATTTGTCCTGTACCCCCAAGAAAACAGATTTTCCATTTTTATTTTATTATAGCTTGGGAGTAAATCTATGACGCTGTTGTTTTAAAATGTCTGAGAATCACAGACATGAATTACATTTAAAATCCGAATGTAAGTATAATCTGTCTGGTTCTTCACTAAACTAAACACTAAACTGAACTAAAAATATAAACCGGTTCAATGAACGGCATTCAACACTGATCATATTTTAAAAAAATCTTTGCATTGGATTCACTCTCAACTCAGTGTGTAAAGGAAAAGAGTTGTTTGAAAACTAAAAGGTCATGTGTATGGATTCCTTCTTCTACCCTTTTGCTTTTGTGTCTCTTTCTTGCAACAATTAAACATTTGTCTGTTTTGGTTTTGACAGCCTGTATCAGAAATGTCTGCAGCTTCTCTGTGTGTGTGTTTTGATTCACAATCGGATGGAAATGTCGTCTGTTTCTTACAGTACGTTCCCATCAGAGCACCAAATTGTTCAGATAGTAAAATGTTTCAAATTATGTTGATGCTGTCTGTGTCCCAAAACTCCCAAACCTTCAGCTTCTTCCTACTGTGTTACACATCATAACAGTTCAGTCTGAAGCTACAGGACTTAGAAGCTTTGTTTACATCTTAATGCAGGAAATGGACAGTGGATGCAGAATGGCTTTTTATTTTGGAATTAAAGCACTATTGGTTCACATACAGATAGAGTCAAAGTAGTATATATATAGTAGCAGTATATATACGGTTACAGGAAAGTATTAACCGTCACTCTTTACTTTCTTGAATAATACTAGGTTGGTGGGTACCATTTAAGCGCTAGAGTAAAATGACATGATGTTGCACTCGCTTGTACAGTAGGTGGCGGTATGCACCATAAAGTTGTTTGCGATCCGCCAGTAAACTCAGAGAAGTAGACGAAGAAGAAGAAGTAGGTATTAAGCGCTTGAGCTAGCAACTGAAAACAGTGCTTGACACTAAAATA